ATCCGAAGACGAATTCATAGAGACCAAACATGGTATATGTAAGGTTACATGAATAAGTGGTTCTACCATAAGCATGCATAAAACCGTATACAATACAAAAGACAATATACAAGAACAGTAACAACATACACAATGACCTGAAGTACATGTGTGTCCATTCAAAGAAAGGTTTTCCTATGAATTAATTAGAGAAGAGACCATTTTTATGGGCATTATGTGTCTGTTTTAGAGAGAAATGAGTAAGAGTTGATTTTCTCTACATAATTTTAGGTCGTAAAAGTATATCTGATCTGGCTGAGGGGTCCTGGTTGCCATGGTAACCTGGGGCCTGGGGTCGTTCCCAGACATGCTGGCACCCAGTATGTTTATTGGGGGAGGGGTCTGTGATTGTTTGTTAATCTAATGAATAATTGATTTGTTAAATCTAATGAACAAATTTGTGTCTAATTGGTCCAAATGCTACAAAGTCTTAATTTTGATTTCAAGAGGTCTTAAATGTGGGGACGGAAAGACCAGAATTGGCATATGGCTAAATGTGAAGATTAAACTTCAAAAGGCTATGATTTCATTAAATAAACATGAGCGCTGCAGGTTCAAAGTCGGGTGCTGCGCTGCTTTGTGTTCTGCCGCTACCGGGGAAACGGTTATATTTCTACCAAATGCTCCACCTGCTGGCAGAGAATGAATGAGCATTTTCAATAAAACTGTTGTTTTTTTCAGACTAATGCATATATCAACCCATGTTTTTACCCTGCAAACATGCAGAGTTTTAAATGTGAACTGGTGGATCTATAAGAAGACAATGCATTATAAAAATCAAAACTGTATAGGGGTGTGCAATATGTATGGTCTGTGATAATATCATAATTGTTGTTTTTAACTATGTGCGATCTGATATTATCGAGTACATCAGGAAAAGCAAACAAAATACACCTACAGAGTGCATGCATACATTAGGTGATGAAGTCTAGTAAGTTAACATAGGTTAAACTAGTGCGCATGCGCATTTAGAGTGAGTTCTTTCACTGCATGAATCAGTCTATTAAAATACATTTAAAATGATCACATAATTCAAGATATGGGGCAGAACATATCTATATTTATATCATTTCAGAGTTAATATCACACGAAGAGTGCTGTTTTTTTCTCAAAGTCAGCATGATTACAAATGTGATATTGATTTTATACAACAGTTTAACAAAATTAAAGTTAATATTAAGAGACTTAAGTTTTAGACACCACAGCACTGTTTCGCATTTTGGAGCAACATGACAGTGTTTAATTCCTGAATGAATCAACCGTTTAAATGATTCGGTCAAATCGCAATGACTCACTTGTTAACAGTGACTTGCTGCCAACTACTGGCGGTTTTAATTTGGCGTTTTTTTATCTTCTTTTCTTCAGTATCTTTTCATTTTTTCAAGGATTAGTTCACCAATTTCCTGATATTTTACTCACCCCCACGTCATCCAAGATGTTCATGTCTTTCTTTCTTCAGTTGCAAAGAAATTAAGGG